TTTCTGCTAAATCTACTAACTATGCTACGTACGTTTGTTAAACAATTATGCAATCGATCTCTTTAGGTTTAATGCGTTTCTAATCATTACATTTTCCTCCACTTAATTTGTTCATTCCACGAACTACACTAAGCTTCGAAAATCGTTTGCCTTCATACTTGCAAGGTCCGCCAAGATTAGTTTTTGTGTTCGGTACACTTGTTCGATCCCGTATGCTTCGAATAACCAGTAGGTTCTGATTGCAGCCGTGTAGTAATGCTTTGTGACTCTTTTTAGATATTCGGTTTGTTGTTTCGGGCTTGCTCCATCCAACAGTTTCCCCAAATAGAAACTATAAACTAGGCTTCCTATCCGGTTCTTGAACTTTTGGTTTCTTAGCATACATCGGTAGGTTATTTCAACCTTTTCATTTAAAGTTTGATTTTCATCATAGGGCGGGGGCATCGTCGGGACCTCTCGTGGGTTTATTTCTAGTAGGTCGTTAATAATTTCATCTATTGTATGCATCGTTTTTTTTTTTTTTTTTTTTGATTGCTTCCTTGTTTTCTTACTTCCTTCCTTTCGTCGTCTTCTTTCTTTCTTTGTTATTGGGGGCCTTTTTTTTTTTTTTTTTTTTGTGTTTTCTTTATCCTCTCCCCTCCTTATTCAACACCTCCTCCTCTACTTCCAGACTCCTTCACTTATTTCTTAGTCTTCTTGAATAATTATTTTTGTCGGGCTTCTAGGTACCTTTTTAGTTGTGCTTTGTTAATGGGAGACTTTAGGACTTGTCCCTCTAGTGTTCTTAATTTATAAGATCCGTTTACTAAAATATTGTGCACAAAAAATGGTCCTTTCCATTTTTGGTTTAGTTTGTGGCTTCGAGACATTTGGTGCGCAGCATCGAATAGTAAAACCTTATCGCCTATTTGAAAGTCTGGTGTAGCCTTTATACGCCGATCATATTGTTTTTTTTGTCTTGCTTGTGCCAATCTTGTTTGTTTCACTGCCTCATTTCGTTGTTCTGGAACCGTGTTTAATAAATTGAATGTTCTCTGAATGATGGTACCATTTAAAATGTCAGGGGTGCTACTGGGGTGCAGGGGCAGACGTGCCTCCCTGCCATATACTAAATAGAATGGTGTCATTTTTGTTGAATTCTGTTTTGTTGTTCGATATGAAAATAATATTGGTTGAATAAATTGATCCCAGTCGGTTATGTTGTGTATTGTTTTCGCTAACGATTCACAGAGTGTTTTATTGTATCTTTCGACAAGACCGTTACTTTGTGGGTGGTATGGGGTCGACAGTTTGTGTTTTATTTGAAATTTTTTTAGTAGTGCAGTGATCAATTCGTTCCTGAAATGTGTACCACGATCTGATGCTATGAATTGGGGGCAACCATGCCTGCATATAAGCTCTTCATATATAAATTCAGTGACTTCAGCTGCATTATCTTTTTCGAGTGCTCTTGCTTCGGGCCACTTTGACATATAGTCGGTGGCTACGACTATATATCTTTTCTTGCGGGGGGTTATGGGCAGGGGCCCTACAATATCGATTCCAATTCGATAGAATGGTGAGTCCACTTGGATTGGGTGCAGGGGTTCTTGAAGCTTGTTCTTCCCACGCCGTTGGCATGTGTCACATGTTTGTACATACTCTCTAATACTTTCAAACATTTGGGGCCAAAAGTAATACCTCCTTATTTTTTCGAACATCGCAGCCTGACCCATGTGACCTCCAGTAGGGTGATTATGTGCAAGGAATAATATAGACTCGATTTCGAAAGTTTGTACGACTTTTAACCAATTGCCTTTTTCCTGTCTATCTTTTTTGTACAACATATTCTCTTTTACTTTAAAGAACTTAGACTTCGACACTATTCTTGATTGTTCTTGTTTGCTCAACCCTGATGGTAGCTGGTGTTCCAGTAAGTATCGTCTTATTTGGTGGTAGTGAGTTGGATACATTTTTTTTTTTTTTTTTGGATTATTTTTACTACTATTATTATTCTGTGTTTGATTGGTTCAAAAAAAAGTGAGAAAAAAAAATAAAATAAATTTAGTGTAATTGTTGGTATAATAGAGCCTTTTGGGTGCCAGGACACCGGTAACCTGGTCTGTATTGGGTCCGGATTTTAAGGTGAAGTATTACTCTCTCTCTCTTTCTTTTTTTTTTTTTTTTGTTTTGTGTTGTACTTTAGATTCATGAAAGAGCGTCAGCATTAGAGTGCTTTCGTCCAGGGCGATGTTCAATGGTATAATTATATGGTTGTAAGCGTAAGATCCAGCGAGCACGGCGTCCCTTCAGTTTTGAAGTTTCCAACCACTTCAATGCTGAATGATCGGTTACGACGGTGAATGGTCTATAACCAAGGTAGTGGTGAAAATATTCAATCGCCCAAATAACGGCGAGGCACTCCTGTTCTGTTGTGGAATAGTTTTTTTTGGGTTTGGTAAGACTTCTGGATGCATAAGCGACAGCGTATTCTTTACGATCATCTCCAATTTGGGCTAAAACGGCACCTAAGCCTACTCCAGATGCGTCTGTGTGCAGAAAAAATCTTCGATCAAAGTCGGGGTAGCGTAGAATTGGGGCGGAAATTAAGTGTCGTTTGAGGGTTTCAAAAGATTGCTGTTGTTTGTTAGTCCAGTTGTATGGTGTGTTTTTCTGTAATAAAAGATGAAGAGGTTTTGCAATTGTTGTGAAATTTTTAATAAATTTCCGGTAGTAAGATGATAGACCAAGAAAACCGCGTAATTGTCATATGTTCCGGGGTACTGGGAAGTTTTGGACTTTCTCTACTTTTGCCTTGTCTGGTTGTACTCCATCCTTTCCTACTACATGTCCCAAAAAATGTAAATTTTGTAGAAAAAATTGACATTTTTCCAAGTTTAATCTGAGACCTGCATTACTTATTTGTTGGGACACTTGGTTCAAATGATTAATATGTTCTGGCAGAGTGTGCGAATAAATATTGATATCGTCGAGATATACTACGACGAATTTACCAATAAAGTCACCCAAAATTTTATCCATCAGTTTCTGAAACGTCGCAGGGGCGTTACAGAGACCAAACGGCATAACTGTAAACTCGAACGTCCCATATTTTGTCACAAATGCTGTCTTTTCATGGTCTTTTTCATCCATTTGGACCTGCCAGTAGCCACTGGCCAGGTCTAGGCTACTAAACCATTGAGCACCACCAAATGCCTCTAAGAGGTCGTCGACGTGAGGGATAGGGTAAGCATCTTTTTTGGTGACCTTATTCAATCGTCTATAGTCGACGCACATCCTCAGTTTGCCATTTTTTTTTGGTACTAGAACTATTGGCGATGCCCATGGGCTAAACGATTCCTTTATTAATCCTTTCTCCTTTAATTTTTCCAATTCTTCTCGTACGAACTCTTGTTCGTTTGGGGCTAACCGGTATGGTGATTGTTTAATGGGTTCAGCGTCTTGGGTCTTGATCACGTGTTTTACCAGCTCAGTGCGCCCGAGTTCTTCAAGTCCATTTGCGAATAGTTCTTTGTTTTTTTTGAATAGTTCCTTTACACTTTCTTGGTATTCTCCTAAGTTCCTATTTTTTTCTATCTTATTCAATTGTTCTTCTATCGTTGGGTTTTCATTAGTAGGGGCCTTTTTTCCAGTAGGTATTTCCTCCATTACCGCTAAACAAACAGCCGGACTTTCTGTTTCCACAATTTTGTTCTCTAATTCTTCAGATCCTTCATCATCGGTTAAGATATTGTCAGAAGCAAAACTCTCAATTTCTTCTAATTCCTCACTTTCATACTCAATTTCATCGAATAGTTCATCTGCATCGTCTTCATCATGGTCACTTGGTTCCACTTCTTCCGGTATACACTCTTTTTGCTTTCCTTTATCTGTGTGCATGATGGGTACTTCAAACCTTCTTCCCAAGTATCTAATTACCAATTTTTGTTCATCGAAATCTAGCATGGCTCTAGCTTTTTGGAACCAATCGGTTCCTAACAGCAAGGTTTCGTCTACCGATTCTAAGACTTGTAGTGCAGTGGGTATCCTTACATTTGAAATGTCGATGTTTACTTTTGTTATTTTTCCTAAGGTGCGTTCCCTTGCCCCTGTTGCCATTACTACCATGGTTTTTGATTCTTCATCAATTCTAAGCCCTAGTCTGTCAGCCAACCTTTTTGTTACAATACTTACAGCCGCGCCTGTGTCCAACACAGCAACTACGGGTTCATTATTGATATATACATAACATTTCGCAGCCGTAGTGCGTTGTTTCAGTTGGGGGTCCACAAGGTTCGCTTCTTTAGTGTTGGGGGGCCTTCTCATTACCTTTGCAAGGTTCCTACGTTGGTTAGGATACTGTAAAAGTTGTCCTACTGTGGCGTTTGCTCTCATTGTTAGAATATCATTGGCTACGTTGTATGGTTCAACTTTATCTATTACCGATGGTCCCCTTTTTCGTCGAGGTTTGTTTAAGTTTTTTGAACTGGACACGATTACTTGAATGTCATTTTGCGGGGTCATTTCCTCATTGTTATTCATCGGGGGTGGAGAAACCATTCTTTTTCTTTTTCGTTCCTGGTTTTCCACATTGTTTATCGGGTTTTTTGGTGGTCGACCTCTTCTTTTTTCGGTGTATGGTTGGTTTACATTGTACAATTCCTCTTCCCATGCTTCGTTGGTGTAGGTTTCCTCACTTGTATCGCAGTAATTTACTCTTTTGGGCTGGTTAGTCTTGATGTAATGCATATTTTTTTGTGTTTGGTTATTTCTGACCAAGGGGCAAAATCGAGCAATGTGACCTTTCTGTTCGCATTTATAGCAAACGATGTCGGGGTTTCATGGTCGCTGATTGATTTGGTTCATTTGATTTATTTGATTTGTTTGGTTATACTGATTATTATTCTTTTGACTCCAGTTTTTCGGTTGTGCAACCAAGTTTACCATATTTGCATAGTTAACTGTCATTTCACTCATTTTTTTCACCAAATTCTCGATTTCGCTTTCAATTCTTTGGGGTGCTTGTTGTGTTGTTTGGCCATAATATTCACCAGCTTCAACCTTTTTTGCACAAGCGATTGCATCATCTAGGGTTGTTGGGGCGTCATAGTCACGTACGTTGCCATTTTCCCATTTAGTCCTCCAAGAAACATTCGTACAACGTATGGTGCAGGAAGTTTTCCACTAGTTTCGACCCTTCTCAGAAGTCATTTGAATTTTGTGGCATATGAGTCGATTTTTTCACCTGATTTTTGTGTGAGGGTGTTTAATTCTATCTGCCAGCGGTGGTGTCAGTCGGGTGTTGCGAAAAACGTTGAGAGTAGGTGGTAGAAGCTTTCATTGGGTCTGCTTTCTTCATTCCAATGTCTGATTTTATTTTTATTTTCTCAGTACCAATCTGCTGCTAAATCATTGAGGTATCCAGCGGCAATTGCAATTTTTCTTTCTTTATTCCAATTATTTATTTCCGCAGCTTGCTCAAATGATTCGAGCCATTCGATCGGGTCTTCGTCTTCCCTACCATAAAACTTTCTAATCAACACTAGGTTCATTTCCTTTTTTTCAGGTGTGTTGGCTTTAATAATTCTGATGGTTGCGTCCTCGAATGTTTTGGCGAATTTATCCAGTAGCAACTGTAGTTGCGCCGAGTCCATTTTTATTTCCTTTTTTTCAGGTTCTTTTGCTGTTGCCGGACTTACTTCTACTTCTATAAGTTTGGGGGGTGAAGCTGATCTCTTTGATCCTTGTATTCCAAGACCGAAAGTGCTTTTCCCGTTTTTGGCATTCGTGGGGTTCTTTGGGTCGTTCACTTTGAAAATTAGGTATTGGAAAAAAAATTTTCTATATTGTAGTTTTGTACTTTTTAAGGTTGTAAAGATTTTTTTTTGGAGTTTTTGTAATGTTCAGACTTGTATTGTGTTTGTCACAAGTAGGTTGAGGAAAGAGAAATATGTAGTATAAATTTTGTTTTCCTAAAAAATTTTTTTTTTTTATATGTATATATTGTTAGCAGGGTACGAAGATCGCTTTATGTTGCGGTTCTTCAGGCGATTACTAATTCAAAGTTTGTATGTTGATCCTATGCTAAAGTTTGTCACTACGATAGTTTTTTCAGTTTTATTACTTGACGTTTTTTTTTTTTTTTTTCACTATTATCTATTGTTCTTTTATCTTATTTGCGTTTACTTTCAGGCCCTTATAGCTTGTGTTAGTTACTTATTTCCGTTGTAGTTTAATTGCCGATTCTCCTAAGTATGTCTGTCACACTGACTTTTAAGCTTTCGTGCTCTTGCACACCAATTTCCTCTCTTCAAGGTTTTTATTGGAGCCGTGTTACGTCAGGGAAGTTAAAAAAAAATTTTTTTTTTTTTTTTTTTAATCTGCTTTTATTCAACGTTTTTATCAAGCTAACTGCTTCTTATTTTTCCACTTAAACTTTGACCTTGTCTTTTGCTTATGCTTCGGCTTTGACTTCTTGATTATACTTCGACTTTGACTTGTACTTTGGTTTTGACTTATACTTCGGCTTTGACTTATACTTTGATTTTGACTTATACTTTGGCTTTGACCTATACTTTGGCTTTGACTTATACTTTGGCTTTGGCTTTGACTTCTTGCTTCGATGCTTTGTGTTCGTTAATTATTTCGTGGCTCGTTTCTTTGTTTTCCTAGTATCTTTCTCCAGAATATTTGTGCCTTCGGTATCTTCTTTATATCGGGGGGGAGGGGGGGGTACGGACGAATCTCACAGTAATCCACCAAATGTAATACTCTGAATAATTGCTCGCTTAAAAATCCCTATTCATAGGGTATCCCGGGTCAGCTTGCGTAACGTTAAACGATATTACTACGAAAGAGGACGTGGATTTGGCAGAGCGTATGCTTTATTAGAGTATATGTGGATTATGTT